TTCCTGCTTTTTAAGTCTTTGTGACTCCATTCTCCTTGTTGAGTGGCAAATAGTTTGTAAATGATCATTTCTGGCCCTCAGAGAAAGTCCCCCATTTGGCAAGAAGATCATTTCTCGAGATAATAAATAGATGTTCACAGCACATTATGTACACTTCTTTTTATTATATTCTTTATCTGGCTATAAAGTAATATTTTATATGCACATTTTCATCCTGTACTTTTCTTGGATAGCACCTAACTTATTAGTGGAATGAGTTGATAATGTCTGTCTTTCCCACTAGAATAACTAGACTATGGACCAGGAGGTGGACATGTTTGTTTGGGTCACCACTAGACCCAGGGTCTGCCAAAGAGCCTGGCACAGCAGACGCTCAGCAAATATTTGTTGAATGAGTTATCGGGGATATATGTACAAATACTCCACTATGGTGGCCATTTACGTTGCTCCAAACTTGAAATTATAATTGAAAAAGAACAATGCATGAACATCCTTCTAGATAAACCTGCATCCATATCTCTGAATATTTCCTTGCTTAGATTTCTAGATGGGGGTCAAAGCATGTAAACGTTTTCTGAAGCTGTTGCTATGCATTGCTAAGTTGCCCATCAGAAAAAGTTGTACCAAGTTAACCACACACCCTTAACACAGTGAATGTGCATCTTTATCTTCACAACGTTGTATATTATGGGGAAAACTAGTTTTTTCTACTTAAGTCTACTCATTTTAACTACATTTTTAGGGATAGGACAGAATTTCCGTAGTTATGTCCTTCTAGTTCTTCTTCCAGGCTGAAAATAATTTTATATCATGATACAAGCATTATATATGCTCGTTAGAAAAAATATCAAATGGGACTCACAGAAAAAAGGAAGAAAGCAAATATAATTTAAAAATTCATCCTAAAAGAAAAAATTGTGTTCATACTTGGGCAATAACTTTTATACCCATATCCTCATGCCCATACACGTTTATATTAGAATCAAGTTCTACTCCGTGTTCTATTTCGTAATCTTCTGTTAAAAATCTCAACAGTTTGTCATAGGACTCCCTTTCATGCCAATACATCAGGTTTACCGTAGTATGAAGTAATCAGAATTTATTTATACATATCCTTCTTGGTGGACATTTTAGTTTTAAGAATTTTTTTATATGTACATTCTGCGTGTAAGTCCTTTACTAGATATATGTTTTGCGACTATTTTCTCCCAGCCTCTGGCTTATCTTTTCATATTCTTTGTAGTATCTTTTGAAGAGAAAAATTTCCAAATTTGGATGAAGTCTAAGTACCAATTGTTTTCATTTTGTGGATTGTGCTTTAAATGTCATACTTAAGAAAACTTTGCCTAACCCAAGATCGCAAAGGTATTTTTCTCCTATGCTCTCTTCTAGAAGTTTTATAATTTCAATTCTTACATTTATGGTTATTTGCTTATTTTGAGGTTTTTTTCTTAATAGAGTATGAAGGAATGGCTGAGATTCATTCTTATACATGTGGGTATGCAATTGTTTAAGCTTGATTTCTTGAAAAGATTACCCTTTCCCTGATAGATTGTCTTGGCATCTGGCATCTTTGTTGAAAATCAGATGGCCACATTGTGTGGGTCTCTTTCTGGATTCTCTATTACAAAGTCTTTCTTCCCAGCTCTGTGTCAACTCCAGGAACTGTTTGTCACACTGCCTTCCAGTGGCTCTTTTCCTGTGACCTCAGATGACTTCCTCTCACCCTTATGGACCAGCACGCAACCAAAGATTTGAGGGATCTCCCTGCAGATCTCTAGAGCTTGCCTGGGCAGCCATCTCTCTCCAGGGCTCCACACCACCAGTTTTAGCCACTTTTGCTTCCCCAAACTGATCTCTTTCTCTTCAACTCCAGATGATTACTGGCTCTTCCTGGTTTCTTCTCTTGCACCATTGCCTGTGAATTCCTCCTTGAAAACTCCCTGGTGCAGTGGTCAGTAAAACCTCATTTTTTTCTTTTCTTTCAGGAATTAAAGCCCTATTCTGCCTAATGTCCAGTGTCTAGAAACCCTTTTTTTAATATATATAATTTTCTGGTTTATTACTGGAGGGCCAATCTGGTCCCTGTTCCTCCATCAGGGTCAGAAGCAGTCAGCTTTTATTCTTGAATGACAGCATGGCTGCTACATTTTCTTCCCCTCAAAATTTTGTGCATATTACTCTGTTGTCTTTTGACATTGAATGTTGCTGTGCAAGAGTCTGAGGTCAGCTTTATTTCTTCTCTCTGATTGTGACTTTCTTATTCTGATAGCATAGTTATAAAAGCCTTTATTCATGAAATGCCGTAGCTTGACCTGAATACATTTTGTATAGATGGTTCTGTATCATCTTTTTTCTCATTCTTAAGTTATTTTTTCAATCTGTTCCCTCAGTTCACGGCAGATACATTTTTTCTGTATCATATTTCTGAATTGTGAACCCCATTTGCTGAGATCTTACCTTGAGGCACATCAGTCATTCTTGGGTTGGGTTATCTTTGACCTCCACATCCACCATCTCTCTCTAATTGCTTTGGTCTCTTCACCCTCTTCCTCTGCACTCACCATCACTCTCCTTTGTGGGGGCAGCTAGTCTTTCAGTCAAGTCTTTTTCTAGCTTATGTATTTAATCTGAAATTGTGTGGTTTGGAGTCTCGGTTCGTTTCTATTGTTTTACTATCTCATTATTCATTTCTTATTTTAATAAATTCTTCTTATTATAAGTCTTTACATAGCATAATACATGCAGAGGAAACTGTTCATTGGATTGTGTTTTCCCAACCCCAGAGGGTTTACTCTGTCTGTCTTTCCTTTGGCTGTATGTTTACATAGTCCCCTTGGCATTTCTTTTTACCTTGCTTATGTCTAACCTGGGCAGTTCTGTCCAACCATTGCTTTGTTCTAATACACTGAGTGATTTCCACTGATATTCTTCTTACCTCATCTGGGCTCACTTTGTCTTATCTTCACCAAGCCTCAGTTTTTCGCTGGATGACTTTCTTTCACTTTTTCCGCCGAATGCATCCAGGAGGAAAGAATGTACAGAGCTTGGAAAAAATACCTAAATCAAGTTGACTTAAGCTCGCATACGTTTCAGGTAAGGGAAGTCCCACGCATAACCTGGTACAGGGCCTCAAACGAGGTCACCTGTCTTGTTCTCTTTCCTGGTTGTGTTTCTTTTGGATCTGCTCCTGAGTTCATGGACTTTCATCCTTGCCCAGAACTTTTATCCTCTCAGCTTTAAGTTATTGCAAAAAATAATTATATGCCTCTACCCCAGAAATCTCTTGGCATTTTATTAGCTCTAAAGCTGTCACACACATACCTCTTAGAGTTGGGGGGAGGTGGTCTTGGTTTTGATTCATTTGAGTTTGGGGAGGCAGAATCTGTGATCTTGCTTCAAGTCAAGAACCTTTTCCAACTAGGTTTGGGAATCTCAGAGGGCTTGACATCGGGGACCATCTCCCAGTCTGTTAAGAGTGAAAGATGTCCGGGGACTCCTCCAGGGGCAGGGCCTGCATGAAGTATGGGCTGAGATAGACAGAGCTGGGTGTGGCGGACAAAAGAAAAGTGATGTCAGAGCCTGTGGTATAGAGGCTGCTGCAAATAGAGCACAGTCCGGAGCACAAAGACTTCATAGACTGGAGAACAAGACCAAAATCTGGGGTGAAGGTCATGTCAGCACCTGGGCAGTGGCCCTGGCTCCAGACTTCCCACAATTCCATCATTCCAGCTCCACTGGTGCCATTTTTGACAGATGTGAATTCCCACCTCTAATTCCTTAATATTTTTTCTATATTCATATTTTTAGAAATTAATTGACTATGATACTATCTCCATTAGCCTACTTGTCATAAAAGCTCAGATGATGTACCAATATGAAAATAAATATGCAACTCATATTTGAAGTTTAAAAATGGCCGTTTTGTACTGTCACCATATCCAATCATCTCTACCTTCCTCCACAATATATCCTTACTAAAGGATTCTTGCTTTGGAAAGTGCTAGTCTAGCTGATAAAGCACTGGGACAAGCTGTTAGCTTTCTTGTTTATTTCTACAATTTGAGGCTGCTGATTTCTTCTTTCGTTTGTCATGTGGGTTATTAAAGGTTAACATTTTTTTTTTAAATAGCAAGTATACATCTTACAGCACCTAGAACTCTAAAGAATATAACAGGATTTATTTTACTATTTTTAATTAATTCGTGTACATTTTCACTTTTGTTATAAAATGTATGTAGACTG